AGCCTGGATGTGGGAGCAGCGTCGGAGGGACGAGAGGCACCCCCAATAATTTTTTAGGGGGGGGCACAGGGCATGGACGACGGGGCTGACGGAGGCAGAGAAGGGGCGAATTCAAAAGGCCACCAGGTTACGGGGGCCACTGGTCAAAGTAGGGAAAGGAGGTTTAGAGGCACGGCGAGAGGTACTGGGGTGTGTTACCAGTCCGGTCCGGCCCGTTCCAGTTCCCGGAGTAGAGCCAGTGGTGTGTGTCCCCAGTACGGTCCGGCCTGTTACGGCCCCTCGCACCAAATGGACGGTGCGCGTCTCCAGCCCGGTCCGGCCTGTTCCTGCTCCACGCACAAAGCCTACGGTGTGCGTCGCCAGCCCAGCCCGGCCTGTTCCTGCTCCACGCACAAAGCCTACGGTGTGCGTCGTCAGCCCAGCCCGGCCTGTTCCTGCTCCACGCACAAAGCCTACGGTGTGCGTCGCCAGCCCAGCCCGGCCTGTTCCTGCTCCACGCACAAAGCCTACGGTGTGCGTCGCCAGCCCTGCCCGGCCTGTTCCTGCTCCACGCACAAAGCCTACGGTGTGCGTCGCCAGCCCAGCCCGGCCTGTTCCTGCTCCACGCACAAAGCCTACGGTGTGCGTCGCCAGCCCTGCCCGGCCTGTTCCTGCTCCACGCACAGAGCCTACGGTGTGCGTCGCCGGCCTGGTCCAGCCTGTTCCTGCTACTCGCACCAAGCCAAGGGTGCGAGTCGTCAGCCTGGTCCAGCCCGTTCCTGCTACTCGCACCAAGCCAAGGGTGCGAGTCGTCAGCCTGGTTCAGCCCGTTCCTGCCACTCGCACCAAGCCAGGGGTACGAGTCGTCGGCCTGGTCCAGCCCGTTCCTGCTACTCGCACCAAGCCAAGGGTGCGAGTCGTCAGCCTGGTTCAGCTCGTCCCTGCTACTCGCACCAAGCCAAGGGTGCGAGCCGTCAGCCTGATCCAGCCCACTCCTGCTACTCGCACCAAGCCAGGGATGCGAGTCGTCAGCCTGGTGAGGCCCGTTCCGGCTCCATGCATCAAGCCTAGGGTGCGTATCGGCAGCCAGGTCCGGTCCGTTCCTGCCTCACGCGCCAAGCCAGGGGTGCGCGTCGTCAGTCCAGATCCTACCAGCTGGGTCAGATCGGACCGGGGGCGCTACGGGGGGATTGAAGAAGGGTGGTGGTCAAGCCCGGAGCCGGAGCCGCCTCCGAGGAGTAATGCCCACCCAGCCCTCCCCTGTTTGGGGTTTTTGAGGCGCGGTCGCAGTCCGCGCCTTTAGGGGGGGGTACTGTCACGCTCTGGCTCCGGGACTTTGTATGTTGAGCCAGGGTGTGTTCGTTTCGTTGTGTTCTGTTTGGTTGGGTTGTCTATTTGGTTGTGTTTCCTTGTTTGGTCAAATGACTCCCAATCGGAGGTAACGAGTGTCAGCTGTCGGCTCGTTATCTCTGATTGGGAGCCATATTTAAACTGTGTGTTTTCACCTTGTGGTTGTGGGTTTTTGTTCCTGTACAGTCATTGTCACTGTGGACTTTACGATCGTCATTTGTTTTGTGGTTTTCGTGTTAGGCTTTAATTAAATAAAGTCATGTTCGCTCAACGCGCTGCGCTTTGGTCTACTCATTCGTCAGACGATCGTGACAGCAACATCATTGATATACACGGAGAAAAGAGTCGGCCCAAGAATTGAACCCTGTGGCACCCCCATAGAGACTGCCATAGGTCCAGACAACAGGCCCCTCCGATTTGACACATTGAACTCTATCTGAGAAGTAGTTGGTGAACCAGGCTAGGCAGTCATTTGAGAAACCAAGGCTATTTAGTCTGCCAATGAGAATGCGGTGGTTGACAGAGTCGAAAGCCTTGGCCAGGTCGATGAAGACGGCTGCACAGTACTGTCTATTATCGATAGTGGTTATAATATCGTTTAGGACCTTGAGTGTGGCTGAAGTGCACCCATGACCAGCTCGGAAACCGGATTGCATAGCGGAGAAGGTACAGTGGGATTCCAAATGGTCGGTGATCTGTTTGTTAACTTTGCTTTCAAAAACTTTCGAAAGGCAGGGCAGGATGGATATAGGTCTGTAACAGTTTGGATCTAGAGTGTCACCCCCTTTGAAGAGGGGGATGACCGCGGCAGCTTTCCAATCTCTGGGGATCTCAGACGTTACGAAAGAGAGGTTGAACAGGCTAGTAATAGGGGTTGCGACAATTTCGGCGGCTAGTTTTAGAAAGAAAGGGTCCAAATTGTCTAGCCCAGCTGATTTGTAGGGGTCCAGATTATGCAGCTCTTTCAGAACATCAGCTGTCTGAATTTGTGTGAAGGAGAAGCGGGGGGGGGGGGGCAAGTTGCAGCGGAGGGTGCAGAGCTGGTGGCCGGGGTAGTGGTAGCCAGGTGGAACGCATGGCCAGTCGTAGCTAAATGCTTGTTGAAATTCTCGATTATTGTAGAGTTATTGGTGGTGATAGTGTTTCCTAGCCTCAGTGCAGTGGGCAGCTGGGAGGAAGTGCTCTTATTCTCCATAGACTTTACAGTGTCCCAAAACGTTTTGGAGTTAGTGCTACAGGATGCAAATTTCTGTTTGAAAAAGTTAGCCTTTGCTTTCCTAACTGCTTGTGTATATTGGTTCCTAACTTCCCTGAAAAGTTGCATATCGCGGGGGCTATTTGATGCTAATGCAGTACGCCACAGGATGTTTTTGTGCTGGTCAAGGGCAGTCAAGTCTGAGGAGAACCAGGGGCTATATCTGTTCTTAGTTCTGTATTTTTTGAATGGGGCATGTTTATTTAAGATTGAGAGGAAATTACTTTTAAAGAACAACCAGGCATCCTCTACTGACTGAATGAGATCTATATCCATCCAGGATACCTGGGCCAGGTGTGGTCGTTTGACCGCGGACCCGTTACGGACGCAGGCAATAAGGCAGTGATCGCTGAGATCCTGGTTGAAGACAGCGGAGGTGTATTTAGAGGGTAAGTTAGTCCTAGTGTGAGGGAGAAGGGGATACAGGAAATTAGTTTAAAGAGTATATTAAGTAGAAATTAATTAGATATAGTCTCAAATATTTTGTTATCTTTTTTAAGAGCAATGGGGCTGGCAGGTAGTCCTCTGTAGCAGCTGGTAGAGCACGGCGCTTGTAACGCATGACTGTAAGTCGCTTTGGATAAAAGCGTCTGCTAAATGGCATATTATTATTATTATTATTATAGGTAGGATTTAGTTTACCCTTCTCTGGCCCACACTCCAGTACAGTAGGTGGCGGTAATACACCATAACGTTGGATGCCAACCGCCGATAAGCCACACCGAAGAAGAAGAAGCACACAATCCCGAAGAAGAACGCTAAAGACTTGTTTATTTGTATTATAGCCATGACCATGTGCTTCACTGTACTTTATGCGGTTTTTCATGATTACAGAAGATAAAGTTGGACGCAAGAATGTATACAACAGCGTGCTTCAAATAACAAGTGACTGTGGAGGATTTCATTAAAATTAGCTAGTAGGCTTGAGAGCAGCTATCTAGCTACCTAAAACAGCCGTCTAACGTTCGCTGGCTTGATAAAACAGTTAACTTTACCTAGCTAGCTACCTGCCACATTATCTGTCCAGCTTCAATATATTGTGAAAAGCTCAGTCTGCGTTTCGTCGTGCGACACAAAAAGGGAACATCATGGACAAGGTAACGTACCGGCAAAACATTTTGTGAAGAGAAAGCAGCTAGCTAGCTGGCATCTTAGTTAGCTAATGTCAATTCTGTGGTCACATCATATGGCTGTTCATTTCAGTTGTTTAATTGTATGATCTGAAGTAGCTTGCTCGCCATCTGTTTTCTTAGTAACGTTCATGTGTTGCCATTAAATACTTAGTTAGCTAGCTTGTGTCACAGATAGAACAATGAGACAGATATTTCACCAGATGTATAAATGTGAAGCATCCGGTTGGCGTTTCCACTCACTACCAAATATGGTGGCCGGCAGTGGGAGAAGATGGATTTTGGCCGATATTCTGCTAACTTACTAATCGATTAAACATTTGACCTCTACAGTTTTCTGTTCCCAAAACTAGAATCTATTACGAACAATGTGGAGTACGTTTTGTAGACTTTACCCTTGGCCAAAGTTCAAAAAAAAATTGCGTCGTTTAGATGGAGTGCAAAGATGAATTTCACAGAGTAGACGTTCACAGAGTAGACGTTCCCCAACGGAAATATGCAAACGTTGGCTAGAACGCGCCAATTGGATCTCGCTATCTCGTGCTTGGCTCTGCCCACCACCTTGCTTGTTCTGCCCACTATGTCTCATTTGTTCCCATTTGAAACGACAGGCCAGGGTCTATCTTGTTTTAGTTATAAAAATCTTTGCTTGTATCTAACCTGCCAGCAAGCCAGATAGAATCATGCACTTGTTTCGACCAGACAGACACCCAGGGTGTCAGCCACATGGCATCAGCCCAGGTTTCGAGCAGGGGTATACCCCACCCACCCCGTGGTGTCTTGGAGGTCATGTATTCCAGAACATACAGCCCTTTGCTTCTCTCTGTAGTTTGAACCAAACGCTGTCAAATGGGTAGTAAAGCATCCTTCATATTTCACTAGCTAGATGTCAACCTAAACTAGCCAAGTACCTCAACTCCTCCACTGGGTTGAGCGCAGACTATAGTTTTTTTAATGAACCTCTGACTCCTTCGAGTCGCTCTGTGTCAATACTTAAAAAACGTGAATTCTTAAACCCTTACCATGTACCTATGTTTGTCCTCTGTTGCGTGCCTTTCTTTGTTTCTTTTTAATAAAACGTTAATCAAATACAACCACTCTCAATCTCAGTGTGGAGGAGTTGAGGTACTTGGCTAACCTAAAACCAGACATGATAGATAAGGGAAGGGATGGTACAGAATCATGCAGGAGGCCAGGAGCTGCAGGACTAGGATGAAGCTCTGCAAAATTGGCAGCTGGTGTTATTTTAGATGTCAACACCTTTACTTAGCAACACAGACTGAATAATGTTTCTACAGGCAGATTTCTTAAAGGGTCTCCCCGTTTACAACAAGAGCAACTTCAGCCTGTTCCATGCAGACTCTGTGTGCAAAGCATCGGTGAGCACTTACTCAAATCTATCTTAACATTTGTAATATGACAGATGAACATCATCAGTTTTGCTACACCTGAAACGCTTTTAAATAACTTTTTACAGAACCGAAGACCGTCCGTGTACCTCCCGACATGCGAGTACCCCTCAGAACAGAGTAAGTTCCTTCATCCTTACTGGAGAGCACAGACTTTGATTAGTCTTTATTTGCTTTGTCTTGGGAAACATGTACTGCTAGAAATTGAAAAATGTATTGGAAACTCAAGAGAAGCAATTTCCCCTTACAAAACAACTAAATTATTCTTTATTAATGGATTTCTCTTTTACTTCCTAGTCATTGTCACAGAGAAAACAAATATCCTCCTGCGCTACCTTCACCAACAGTGGGACAAAAAGGTGAGTTGGTAGGGGCTTCCCATTCCTAAATGAATAGATGCTATTCACATGTAAATGTAAGGTGTCATGCAAGAGTAACAGATGTGACCTGTCACCTACCAGGAACTGCTTAAAGTATGGTCAGCCATGCTCACTCCGAAACGGAACATCAACTTTGCAGAGGAGGTTGTCAATCAGGTGAGTGACAGTACTAATTGTCCTCTTCTGTTGAACAGAATGCAGCGAAGAAGAGGGAACAGGAGCAAGGAGAGGGAGGGAGTCCAGCACCTCCACACAAAATTGCGAGGACAGATAGCCAAGAGATGAATGAGGACTCTTAGGAGTGTGTATGTGATTGGCTACGTGTGTGTGTGAATGTGTGTGTGTGAGCACGGATGCGTGCATCTGGAGGAAGCACACAACAGACATGACTATGAAGACATACGAGACACTCACTTTGACAAACAACCTGAGAAAATGTCCACCCTGGTTTGGGAAAAATAAAAAAAAAGTAGCTTTTTTGTTACATTCTGCAAAGAATTCCTGCCTTGTCCAGTGCCCTGTTTTCAGCTTCACTGCCCAGCCCTGACCACATGGGGCCGCTGTAACATCTTTCCACACAGTTTGCTTCATCAGACCCAGTACACTGAACTGCTGCCTGCCACAGCAGGGGAAGACCCAAGGATGTATATAAACCCTGGATAATATTTATTGGCAGTTGAGAGGCTTTGAAGCCACTGGTCGGCCATATTGGCACTCCCCAGTAGGAGCAGTCCTCCAAGGGAATTAATGGAATTCTACAGTATTTCAATTAAATGTTTGAAGGACAAAATTACATGTATTTAATACTTGTTTTGTTGTTGTAGTGGGGACAGTAACACTAGTACAAAAAAAAAGACTTAAGGAATATGTTTTTAGATATTTGTTGTATGTTTAGCTCACATACTATAATTTAAAAGTATGCATTCAAGTGTCTTAATAGAATAAGTGTCAAATACAAATGTGGACATTAAATGCATTTCAATAGCTTGCACAATCTATTTTTTACGATGGAGGAGGAGTACCAAGATGGCTGTGCTGTGGCTTCAATACAGCGCCCCCTGTCAGTCATCCAGGGTTTATACACATCATTGGGAAGAACCTTCCCCCTGGACCTGTGTTAATGTTCAACATGCGTTATCTTCCATTCTGCTCTGAATTTGTTTGTGTTTTAAGTTTGCTGCTTTGTTTTACTGTCAATTTTAGTTCTGAGATGTTTCCTCACTTATCTACTGCCCCCTTCTGGTCAATAGGGCTAACATGACAAGTGACTCAACAGTTTACTAGCTTAGTTTGAATGTTTGATGCTTTCTGGCGAAGCATCCCTATTAAAAAAATGTATAATAGAATGTCAAGCCAAATTGTTTTAGTCACACAGGTGTTGACTACTCAGTTTACTAGAATTTATTTTCAATTTGTTTACACTGCAATCGATGGACCCATTATGTATTTTTATGTCAAACTCACAAAGTTATAGCACAGGTAGAACAAAGAATAGTAGCCTACATCAATATGAGGGGTAGAGAATGTTGTATTCAGTATGAAGATCTGCAGTGCCTCGTGAAAGTCTACATACCCCTTGCACGGTCTTCACATTTTTGCTGCCTTAAAATTAAATCTAAAAAGGAATACAATTTGGGTTTTTTCCCCCTACCTTGTAGATCGGTTGGAAAATAATGAAATGTAATCCCGCTTTGTCTTTTTTTGCCAGCAAAATGTGAAGACTTTCACTAGCGACTATGTAAATATAATAGCTAGTGCCGGCTGTTAGATATTAAGGTATTGGCTTGATATTTCTCAAAAGAAATGACATTGAATCTGCCTTTCGTAAAATGAATACATGTAGCTAAATGGATATTATACTAGATGCCGTTATTAAATGTTAAGAGAAGCACTGCTACCCGATGTTTGTGATCTTGTAAAAAATAAATACAGCTGGGAAGCTTTTGAAAACTTCCCGGGCTGGGGGGAATTGTGTGGAGAAGAGGATACAGGAATAAAGAGGGTATTATACGTAACAGACCACCTGCCATGGAATACAAAAATAGGTGCAGTCGCCATCCTTCCTTGTTCCAGAGATTCATTTGCTACTAGTACTGGTGAAACATTCAGAACATTGCAGATAAAATTGTAATGAAAAGAGCTGACCTGATTCATAATATCTGCTCTATATAATACATTTCTATAAACTTTCTGTAACGTTGCACCCTTCAGAACAGGCCCCAGACCTTTGTTAATATTTACACTGCCCAACAAAGTCACAGCAAATTTATTTTCCGTCCGAATCCAGATGCTGCAATTGAAGTGAGTTGACTGTTGTCAGTGATCTTCCTTCTGTAGGTCTACTTGCCATCCTCTGACGTTGAAGCGTAAAGACATGTAATGCTTTTACTAGACTGTTCTCAATATACACGCTACGCCTTGCCCTGTTTTGTGTATAGACTGGTTGGCTGACAACGTCAGGGAAGTTCTGCGTTATGATTCTGAAATGTCAGATAGATCGCAACAATGACAAGAAGCCGCCTTGTGGAGAATCGTAGGTGGCTCGTTTCAGCTCATATCTTGTTATTGATACCATGTCTTGTTTTTAGGTGTTTTGACTGATGTCATGTCTATATGCTAATATGGCAAATATTCGCTAGCTAGCGAACCAACAACTGTAAAGATGTATTTGAGAGACAAGTGCTCATTGTGCAAATGTATTTGTTTTCAATAAACATTTGGAGATGAAATATAGTTCACATGTTGTCAACCGTCTAAGCCAACCCCGTCTGTTTTGCCCCATAGTTGTGTACGTGTTGGAACAACCAATCTGTGTAGGTCAAATGTTCTTTTCAGCCTCGCTCAAATAAAAAAAATGTGATTGAAAAGTAGTTTCCGGGCCTCCCAAGTGGTGCAGCGGTCTAAGGCACTGCATCGCAGTACTTAAGGCATCACTACAGACCCGGGTTCGATCCCAGGCTGTTTCGCAGCTGTCCGCGACCGGGAGACCCATGAGGTCCTTAGGGGAGGGTTTGGCAGGCAGGGATGTCCTTGTCCCATTGCGCTCTAGCGACTCCTTGTGGTGGGCCAGGCGCATGCAAGCTGACTTGGGTCGCCAGATGTTTCGGTGTTTCCTCCGACACATTGGTGCGGCTGGCTTCCGGGTTAAGCGAACAGTGTGTCAAGAAGCAGTGCGGCTTGGCAGGGTCGTGTTTCGGAGGACACATGGCTCTCGACCTTTGCCTTTCCCGAGTCCGTACGGGAGTTGCAGCGATGGGACAAGACTGTAACTACCAATTGGATATCACGAAACCTGGGGAGCAAAAGGTGTAAAAAGTACCCCAAAAAAATAAATAATGGTTTCCGTTATGTCATTGAAACAATGTAAAGGTACATTTGTTTCATACTTTCATGTTTCAGGGAAGAAAGAAATTAACATTTCAGTTTAAATTTGTTTTATTATCTATTTTCAAATCTTACAAAAAATGACAAAATAAATGTAAATAAATAAATAATCCCATTTCCCAGTATTATATTTTTCTTGAAAATATAATTTTTTTTTTTGTACAGTGGTACATTGGAAGATAACATGATGTCTTGTCAGTTAGTGAGGCTGTCGTGAATATGTTTTTTTATTTAGTTAAGAGGTTTAAGGGAAGGGTTCTACATACTGGTAGCTGTACAGTAAATCTCACCTCCACACATCCACTTCACTGTCCAGTTTCATGATGACACTACAGGTACCCCTCCCACCTCAGGTTAGCCCATCAAAGAAAAGAAAAAAAGTGACACTATGCTTTTGGCTGCATTCACACAGGCAGCCCAATTCTGATCTTTTGCAACTAATTTGTCTTTTGACCAATCAGATATTTTGCCAATAATTGGTTAAAAGATCAGAATTGGGCTGCCTGTGTAATCACAGCGTTTAAGGCTGGATTTAGGCAACTGCCCCAAACAAGTGGTTTTCATTCACAAAATTCACTCAGGTTGTGTCTTCACCTGACACTTACATGCGACCTTTGCTATCAGAATACCAAGATCGCATTGAAAAGAAGGTCTGATTGTGTTCAGATCTGGCTGACCACTTCAGGAGGTGGTCAAGGATGCATTGTGTGCAGATTTCTCCTCAGTCTGGACGCAATCAGGCTACCGAAAGCGCATATAGTCGGGTGGCGTCATCAGCACTCCTCTCACAAGTCTCCAGAAAACGTGTGTTTTGGGACCGAGAGGGACCTTTTCATTATAAAGTTGAAGGAAATACATTCCTAGCGTGCGAGGAACGTGTTTGCTGGCCTCCTAAATGCTAGCCATCTAGCTAATATTTAGAAAAATGATTTTGGGGTTGGCTAGAGTTAGGCTAACCCGTTTGCAATCCTACAGTATTTGGCTACTGCCATCAGTTGTTGTGTTATCATATTTGGCCTATTCCACCGTTTGTATACTGGCATTTGAATATAGTGCAGGAAAAGGGAGTCCGGACACGGTAGACACATTTAAATATAGGTGTAGACACATGACGCGTTCGGAATTCCATGATCCATAACTCTGATTGGATATTAAAGCTGCATGAACTGTAAAGTCTAGACATGGCCTCGGTTCTCTTCTCGCAACCCTTCTCATATTTGTAACTAAGCAGTGCCATGATAGAACATCAAAAGGTAAACTCGTTCAGAGCACTTCCTTACAGTTTGAACATACTTATAGTTGCACTGATACTGACATGAACCGTTTCACTACTTCTAAGTAGCCCTGTCTGGTAAAACCTAACAAAAAGGGTCAACATGTTTAGTGAGGCCAAACATGTTTTGGCCACTGACCCCAAAAAAGGCTGCATCTCGATAGTCTTACTAACATGGCCTTAGCTCCTTGTCTCCTTTCCTTCATCTGCACTTATCTGAAAATGCCAGACAGGTAAAAGCAACATGTTAGTTGCCTACTGGGAATTTGCTTTAGCTTGTCCATTTCTTTCAGATCAGGGAAATAGAGGAAGCCATTCAGAACTACTAAGATACAACCTATATCAAAGACGAAACACCTGCGGCATGCAGGTGTACCATGGATGACTGTTACTGACAATGGCCTATGACAGATCATCTAATCAAACACTTCCAAATGTGTCTGACTAAGCAGGACTAAGCAGCTGCTTCACTACAGTAAATGAGAACAAAATCGAAATCATGTCTCAATCGTTTCATCCGTGGCGTAGTTATTTGGCATTATTCACAAATGTATGATGACGTTGATGATAGTAACCAAATTGTTTCCTTGTTATTTGTACAGAATGACTTAATTTTTAAATTTATTTTTAGTCATTTAGCAGACGCTCTTATCCAGAGCGACTTACAGGAGCAATTAGGGTTAAGTGCCTTGCTCAAGGGCACATCGACACATTTTTCACCTAGTTGGCTCGGGGATTATGGCTGTAGAGTGAGGGGGAAATGTAATGATAAGGTCAGATGTTACTCACTCCCACACAAACAACTGCTCTTTCTGTTTCCTTATTGCCTTGAAGTGCCTTTTCAGCTCAAATACATCCTCATTTAACTACTACTACCACTACTAGTTCAGTCAGTCAGAGCTCAATACTCATTGTTTCCATTATATGTATGTAAATTCTCAACCTGGTTTCAGAGCATTTTGTATTATTTTGTACGTAAATCCGATACACTCTATTTGGTATGATATGTTATGTTTTGTATGGTATGTATTAATTTGTCCATCACCGATTTTGTATGATATGTTACAAATTACAATTCGTATTATATGTTACCAATTTGCGAAAAGGTACTATATGTTACGAATTTTCTAAACGTATATGTTACGAATTCTACCTAGGTGGCTAACGTTAGCTAGGCTAGGGGTTAAGGTTAGGGTTAAGTTTAGGAGTTAGGTTTAAAGGGTTAGGGTTTGCTAAAAGGATTAAGGTTAGGGGAAGGGTTAGCCTAAAGGGTTAGGGTTAGCTAACATGCTCAGTAGTTGCAAAGTAGCTAAAAAGTAGTAAGTAGTTGAAAAGTTGATAGGTAACCTCATCTCATATTTAAAGCACAGAGAGAGATGAAAAGAATAGTGTACCAGGGGAGCATCCTTAGATTAGGTTTCCTATTTCAGAAGGGAGACAGGTGTGAGTCTGGTTCAGCCCAGATGGAGAGAGGAGAGATGGGATGTTCAGTATTAATACCCACACTGAGAAGCCAGGTCAGGTGGAGGAGATCCTATTGGGTGGTGGAACTAGAGATGCACTGGGCTAAGGCATGGACCAGTAGAGGACTAGTGTTTATGGCTGTGCCACTGTGTCCCTCCAACACTATATTATTGCAAATATCTTAGCCAGAGAGGATGACGTGGAGGTGCATAGTTAATGTTTATGTCTCTCTGTGCTGAATCACTGCTGTGAAGTGCAGTGGTTCTTCTTTTCAATGAACAAGACTGGATGTATTATGAGTTTATAGGCACAGATCTAATATCAGATTACCTTCCCCAAATCCAGAATGTAACAGTAGGGGTGGGGGACACAAAACTGACTGCAGATCAGTTTCCAGAGACAACGTCATCATACTCTTAAGTTAGAGACGTATAAACCACTTTCTTGTTCTCTGGCACCATCCTCTGGCCACATTATAGAAATTAAAGATGGTTGAATACTCTCTTTGGATTTGCTTATAAAAGGAATTTAGAAATCTGTGATCTCTAGAAATGTAACTATGTTCTCACATGCCAGTGTACTCAGAAAGGTATTGCTTTGGCAACATCCCAAATTACATATATCCCAAAATACATAAGGGGAAATAAAAGACATATCAGCTCTCAAATGAATGATTGTGAACAGCAGCCATACGGATGTAGGAACTAGGGATGGTCAGATGAAATGACAACAGCATCAGTATAAGATACTAGCGATAAAAAAAGCAAGTGTTTGCATATGTTAGGTTGTGTTATGAGGCAGGCTGGTATAGTCCTTCCTTACACCTGCAGAACAAGCTCTGCTGTCTCAGTGCAGGACATCAGGGTTTAGTGCAAATGTTCTCTCTTTCTATCTCACTAATCTAGTCAGATCTTTGTGTTGAAATGGAGTGCCATGATTAGTATACTGTCTAGAATGTCTCTCTCTGCAGGCTTGAATGGGGAGAGATTAGAATGGCACACAGTAGACTACAGTAACCCAGACTCTCCATAGCACATACTGAATACTGTCTAGCCTACACAGACATCCATGTCAACATCCTGTGGCATCTTCCTTCATCGGACTCTCAGTTTCCTGGGCAGGCATCAGTCAAAACAGCTGTCATTCTCTCCCTCTCTCTTTCTTTTCCTCTCTCCCTCTCTCTAGAACACATACTGATATGAGACAGACAGCCTGTCTTTTATCAAACGACTTTCATCTCTGCCTTTCACAACATCCTGTTTCACTCTCACTGTCACACATACACTTCAGATATTGCGGTTGTTTTCTTGGGAGGTATATACTAAGCTCTGGTGGTTCTTTTTGCTTTGTAAATAAAGCTCATGGCACGTCATGTATGTCTTTAAATGGGAGTTTAGGTTGATGAGAATGACCTTCACGTGTTTCACAGTACTGCTGAAATTTGAAACACTGATTGATATTGCTCGGCTAGCAAAGCCGCTTCGTATAAGTAGTAAAGCCGATAGGCCTTCATAGTTAAAAATTAGTCTGATATCAGGCAATCATTTTGTGGCGACTACGAAAGGTCTCATTATGCGTCTGATTCACACACCATTTTTTTCCCCCTTTTCTTCTCTTCCCCAAAACCAGGCTGTTATGTTCCAGTGGCAAGATGGCCACCAAGATGCTTACAATTTTCAGACTAGAATAAATCAAGATACACTGCTCTCCCTTATTTCCCCCAAAGTTTTAGAAACACAGCTCATGCATTTCTATATGTATTGCAGACAGAAGTAAGGTGTGTGTGTGTGTCTGTGTACGTGCACGGGTTATGCTTTCGTCATCACCACCATCAGCCCATTCCCCTCACAGTCTCTAGGCAGCGTCTACATACAGAACCTCAGGCCCAGACAGCATGGAGAGAGGCTTGGCCTTTTCGCCCCCACATGTTTTTCCTTCGAGTAGATAGATCAAGTTAAGTTCTCACAGCAGTTTGTCATCTCTCTCCAAAAAAAGACTAGACTTTAGGGTCCGAGGAGTCTGTGTGGCGTTCGTTCTCCTCCCCGTCCCCTCCAGGTGAAGGGATCTCGTCCGGCACCCCGTTCAGGTTAGACTTGGCGGGCTGTTTGTCAGATCCCTGGGACCCCTCCCCTGGTCGGGGTAACTGGGACCCGTTCACACAGGAGCCCCCCTCCGACTTCCCAAAGTTAAACAGTTTCCCCGGGTTGAATGACTTGCTTGGCGACTGAGACCACTCCTGGTTACCGCTTGGGGCGGTCATGGACGTCGTGCTATTTGTTGCCGTGGCGGCCGCTGCTGCAGCAGCAGCCGCCGCTTCCTTCTTATTCTCGGGTGACTTGAGGAACTTGAAGCTAAGGAACCCGGGGAGCTTGGGTTCGTTTCCGATGGGAGACTGAGGGGAGCGCGCGCTGCAGGAGGAGAACTTGCTCTGTAAGGGGATGATCTGTTTGAGCTTCATCACGTTGTTGTTGGCCAGGAGGGAGCTGGGCCTCTTGGGCTTGTCCCCCCCTCCACCCCCCCCAGTACGGGACTTCCCCCCGTGGCTCTTGTCGTGGTGGTGGTCTCCCCCGGAGGAGTCCTTCCCCTCATCTCTCTCCCTCTCCCTGCGAGCCTGGTGCTCCGCCTGCCTCTGCCTCTCCTCCTCCTCTCTCCTCCTCCTCTGTAGCTGTTGATAGTGTTGCTGCGCCTGCCGCTCGTGCTTCTGTAGGGAAAGAAACAACCGTTACAACAACTCATACAAACACAGTCTGACAAAAATGTGCACACTCTGAACCAGAGAAACTATCTATTCACTCTTAACCTCTACCAGGTACAGCCAGAAGAGTATGGGCCAGCCCTCTGAGCCAGGTTACTCTCTAGGTTTCTTCCTTCTGGGGAGTTTTCCTACCCAATGTGCCTCTACTTCTGCTTGCTCTTTAAGGTCTAGGCCGCATTACTGTATCACTTTGGGTTACTGGGTCACTTTGTGACAACTGGTGATATTAAAAGGGCTTTCTAAATCAATTTGATTGATTATTGATTGATTGATACAATGAACTCCTCACAACACCAATGTGATTCAGGCATGGACAATTTACCTTAAAGGCCTCCCTGCGTTGGTACTCCAGTTTTGCCATCTCCTCTCCTACCCAGCTGGGGATGTCTGGGATCGCAACGTGAATGATGTACTTCAGCAGGATGGCAAAGTGCTGAGAGAGTGAGCGAGCGAGAAAGAACGTTATAACATTGAAAAGATTAGGCTGGTCAGGCTATTTGAGTTAGCAGGCCAAGCCAGAGAGCTGTTTACCTGTGAGCTGTTTTCTGTCTGCAGTGCAGTGCTGTGCTGTGTTTATTTAGTATGTTGAGACTCTGTCCTATTCTGTGCACCCCCCTCCTCTCCCCTTTACACCTCACCACCGGCAGATGTCCAGAGATCGTGTAACCCTTGAGATTTTTTACAGGTATGTACAGTCTCTGGCTGGGAGTAGGGTTCACATCACTCACCACCCATCTGCCTTGTCAACAACCACAGAAATACCCAGGAATGAACCGCCTCATATCACACTTGATAATTTTTACTGCTACGGGCACTTAGTTGAAGAGCTGAAATCCGCCTCAGAGAAGGATACATTTCATTGAGGTAGCTGTGGTTAGCTTTAAAATAGTCTTACTTGTTTCTAAGCTTTCATAGTGGCCTAAGACACCTGCTGCTGACTAGTGAGAAAGACTAGCTTCAACATGGTAGATACCGTTCTAATGAAAATCCCTTCTCTGGGATATAAAACAACTTTGACATCTTTACTTACGAAAGATTTAAAGAAAGGAGGAAGTTAATATGAAATTGCAAATAACATGCAATAGGACAGCAGTCTCCAAAATATATGTCATATTTATTATTTTGACTTAATCTCATACTGCACACTGAGGACGGCTTGATGCTAAAACACATTGGTGCAGCTACAGGTTATAATAAACGTTTGAAATATGTATTTTGGAAGATGCTACAATGACCATAGCTCACTGTGGTGACTTCTAAAGAGACAAGTCTATAAGGCCTGCTGGGCTGCTGTCAGTTTGAGAGGTTGAGCTGCTCTGAGATCAGTTTCCCAGCCATATATCCTCACCTCAACTATTAGAAGACGTCAATCAAATCTGACCGGACCAGTGCTGAGAGTTAGTCTACCACCTACAAAATCCCTATTTAAACCCTGCCAACACTGAAACAGAGTGAGACTGAGAGACTAACTCATAAAACATGCCTAGGCATTAGCTGATGTCAGGTGTGTGACGGTAGTAAAGTCTGTACTTCGAGGATGACGATGGAGATGATGACCATCTCAGGGCTGAGCCAGGGGAAGAGTCGCTGAAGCTGACCACACTGACCAATCAGGTAACAGTTGACTATGATGGCGATTAGACCCATGGCCTCCATTGCTGTCTGCAGAGAGAGAGAGACACACACAACAGACAGGCTTATTATATGTACATACAGTATAACAAACCTCATGCCTATAAAGCTTACCCAAGGTCAATTCATGATTAGGTTTATACGAAAGGTCACTGTCTCGCAGTCCTACCTGTCCTTGTCCCTCAGTCCTACCTGTTGCTCAGTACTACCTGTCGCTCAGTCCTACCTGTCCTGTCTCTCAGTCCTACTTGTCCTGTCCCGCAGTCCTACCTGTCCCTCAGTCCTACCTGTCCTTCAGTCCTACCTGCCACTGTCCCTCAGTCCTACCTGTCATGTCCCTCAGTCCTACCTGTCCTGTCCCTAAGTCCTACCTGTCCCTCAGCCCTACCTTCCACTGTCCCTCAGTCCTTCCTGCCACTGTCCCTCAGTTCCTACCTGCCAATGTCCCTCAGTCCTTCCTGCCACTGTCCTTCAGTCCTACCTGCCAATGTCCTTCAGTCCTACCTGCCACTGTCCTTCAGTCCTACCTGCCACTGTCCCTAAGTATCATTAAAAAATAAATAATTTGTAAGTTATTTTCAATTTGACATTATATTAAGTACTGAGCTTGAACAGACTGTCCTACCTGCCACTGTCCAATGCTCTCCACCCTCTGACCAAAGGGCCTCTGCATGCCGGTACAGAGCTTGAAGGCGTCGCTGCGGATCTCGATTATGTTGTTGATGAGGGCACACATGGCCGCCAAGGGGAAGGCTGAGGAGAAGAGAACCACATAGCCAAACTGGACAAACATCTCCTGGTAGTCCTGGAAGGTGTCCTGGAAGGGACAAAATACACAAGGGACACTGTCAGCACTGTGACATGGATAGATGATTATCACAGTGTTTGATATCTTTATTGTTTCAGTAAGGAACAGAAGTTGTGTAAATGTAGTTGTACATGTATGGGACGTTAGTTAGTCATGGCTAACTTAGCCTCGCACAGTGACGGCGAAAGACCTAAAGTAATATCTTTAGGATTTATTGGTACTGACAGTTGATTCTGAGTGCAGAGTGCCAGACACAGATACCATGTATTTAGATTTCTTGGTGGTAATACATACTGTATCTGCACAGTAGGGTCTTTCCACAAAAAGAGTGCCTTTTGCGTCCCTTTGATATTTGAAGTAGAAATTGTGCACCAATATTGCATTTTAAAGTTATATTAAATGAAGTGCCTTTTAATATAGACCACATGGAGAATTCAATAAATCAGATTTTCTATATGAATAAAAACTTGCTAAAGTGCTGGAATTCAACATTTTGACATGCCCCTCCGTGACTTCTAGGAAGATTTTAATCCACTTAACCCCAACATTTCTCCAAGTTTTCACCATCAGTAGCTAGGTTTCCATCCAATTGGCGACAGATTTTAATGCGAATATTCAAAAATGTGCATTAAAACAATATGCAGATTTTCCCACCAGAGATGTGTTTCCATCAAATTGACTGGATAAAAGAATGTGCTTGATGACGTAATGCACATAAAAATACCTTTTGCGGTTCAAATTCCAATGTACAGAATAAAAAAGAAGTAAAATGGGTTTCCATTGCATTTTCAACTACTGATGGTTTTCTCACAAAAATGTTGCACTATACAGCGAGTGTGCCCACTCTGGTATTGGCACGTGTGCTCTAGCCAACAACTCGCAGATACAGTGCATATATACAGTGGGGAGAACAAGTATTTGATACACTGCCGATTTTGCAGGTTTTCCTACTTACAAAGCATGTAGAGGTCTGTAATTTTTTATTATAGGTACACTTCAACCGTGAGAGACGGAATCTAAAACAAAAATCCAGAAAATCACATTGTATGATTTTTAAGTAATTAATTTGCATTTTATTGCATGACATAAGTATTTGATCACCTACCAACCAGTAAGAATTCCGGCTCTCACAGTATTAACTGCACCTGTTTGAACTCGTTACCTGTATAAAAGACACCTGTCCACACACTCAATCAAACAGACTCCAACCTCTCCACAATGGCCAAGACCAGAGAGCTGTGTAAGGACATCAGGGATAAAATTGTAGACCTGCACAAGACTGGGATGGGCTACAGGACAATAGGCAAGCAGCTTGGTGAGAAGGCAACAACTGTTGGCGCAATTATTAGAAAATGGAAGAAGTTCAAGATGACGCTCAATCACCCTCGGTCTGGGGCTCCATGCAAGATCTCACCTCGTGGGGCATCAATGATCATGAGGAAGGTGAGGGATCAGCCCAGAACTACACGGCAGGACCTGGTCAATGACCTGAAGAGAGCTGGGACCACAGTCTCAAAGAAAACCATTAGTAACACACTACGCCGTCATGGATTAAAATCCTGCAGCTTTTTGGTCTAAACTCCACTCGCCGTGTTTGGAGGAAGAAGAAGGATGAGTACAACCCCAAGAACACCATCCCAACCGTGAAGCATGGAGGTGGAAACATCATTCTTTGGGGATGCTTTTCTGCAAAGGGGACATGACGACTGCACCGTATTGAGGGGAGGATGGATGGGGCCATGTATCGCGAGATCTTGGCAAACAACCTCCTTCCCTCAGTAAGAGCATTGAAGATGGGTCGTGGCTGGGTCTTCCAGCATGACAACGACCCAAAACACACAGCCAGGGCAACTAAGGAGTGGCTCCGTAAGAAGCATCTCAAGGTCCTGGAGTGGCCTAGCCACTGAACCCAATAGAACATCTTTGGAGGGAGCTGAATGTCCATATTGACCAGCGACAGCCCCGAAACCTGAAGGATCTGGAGAAGGTCTGTATGGAGGAGTGGGCCAAAATCCCTGCTGCAGTGTGTGCAGACCTGGTCAAGACCTACAGGAAACGTATGATCTCTGTAATTGCAAACAAAGGTTTCTGTACCAAATATTAAGTTCTGCTTTTCTGATGTATCAAATACATATGTAATGCAATAAAATGCAATTTAATTACTTAAAAATCATACAATGTGATTTTCTGGATTTTTGTTTTAGATTCCGTCTCTCACAGTTTAAGTGTACATATGTTAAAAATTCCAGACCTCTACATGCTTTGTAAGTAGGAAAACCTGCAAAATCAGCAGTGTATCAAATACTTGTTCTCCCCACTGTATATTTTTTTACCCTCTTTATGGGAAATTTTTTTTTATTAGGTGAACATGTGTTCTTTATGACAGGATGTTACAATTAGGTGAAATATATATTTATTTATGACCATGTCATTACATTCAAGTTAGCTAAGTAGTCAATAATATAACTAGAAGTGTTCCCCACAAGGTAAACTTAGAACCCACCCATACCATCCCAGAATCCCAACAACATACAGGGAATAGAGTTCAGAGCTCAAATCACTTTAGGCATCCAATGACAGATTGTGTAGGACCCTAGACAGGGTGTTTTGGAGTATCATATGGACGGAGGCATGACCTGAGTAAGCATGGTGTAAATCAAGGTCCATGGTAACAGGAATCCATGCTCAGCAAGCACATGATCAGCTACACATGGCCAGCTACGTTACTCAGTATGGCAACGCAAATAGAACTACAGCACTGATGGGGTTTGTTTCTCTAGTTGGTTTAAGCCTTATGGATATGGGATGATGGGATTGTCTATTTAGAGAGTTGGCATTGTTGACATAGTTCACATAGTGAGTGAGCGCGTTCATTAGTTAGTTAATGTGTGTGTGTGTGTGTGCGTGTGTATATACCTACGTACGTGTGTGTGCTGTCCTACCTCATAGGTCTGCATGCAGCTCTCTATCTCAGCCTGTGCCAGACTCGTACTCTCTTGCTCCTCTGGCGGGTCGATCCACGACTCCCTCTTGGTCTTAGAGTCTAGTCTCTCCAAACTTCTCTGCCTTCTGCGATGACGCACCGTCACCGTGCTCTCCGGCCCAGAAGGCAGTGGGGCAGCCGCCACACTTTCATTGGCCGAACCACCCGTGTCCTTCATCTCATTGTCATCGTCATCATCATACGTCTCGAACACCGAGGCCGGGTCCATCCCCTTCTCCACCATGGTGGGGCTGCCATCCTCCAGGAAACTGTCCTCTATTGTGGGAACGCAGCCCCCTCCAGACGACTTCCTGTCCGCCTTCTCTATGAAGCTAACCTTCCTCAGCTTCAGGCCACAGTCTATCAACTCCTCGTTCTCTCCCTCACTGAACCTCCCGCTGTCCCTCTCCTCCCTCTCCCCTTCCTCCTCGTCAGGCACCCCACATCCCCCGTTTAGACACTTCTTCTCCCTGCAGAACAGCAGAAAGGTTAGGCTTCCACTTACTTTAGTCTAATCAACACTATTGTATTGGGTTAGCCATGTAATAATGTGAATAGGTCACACATCCTCAAACATATCAAAACATAGGCTTGTCTACGCTCAAAGAAACATGCCCTAAAAAAAAAGAGCTCTCATTTAACTTATTCATGAATTAATATAAGCCGTTGAGTCAGCATTACCTGCGGTCAGGCTGTCCCAGCCCGGATCTGGTTCCCCTCAGGCCGTGGCCCGGCACGGCCTGGTCGGTGGGTGAAGCCTGGGCCTTTCTTGCGGCCAGCCGGCAGTACTTGAGCAGGGCTGAGAGGAGCAGGTCCCAGACGCCGCGCAGGGTGAGCTCGCCCAGCTTGTGGCGCTCGTACAGGTAAGGCTGCAGCACCTCTTTCACGTTCTGGACAAACTGCCGGGTGATCAGAAGGGTGGCCAGCATCTGACAGGATCAAGGGTTAAATTAAGTAGAGAATCAAGGCTTAAAGGTCAAGGGTTGTCATGATCTGTCACTGGGTTTGAATACCATGGGTGGGGTTTCCCATAAGTAGGCACCACACTAAACAAATAAAATGGTAAAAAACCAGGAAATAGAATTCCTTTGCAAAAATAAACTGCGTATACAAAACATTAAGAACACCAGTCCATGACATAGACTGACCAGGTGAATCCAGTTGAAAGCTATGATCTCTTATTGATGTCACTTGTTAAATCCACTTCAATCAGTGTAGATGAAGGGGAGGAGACAATTTAGACATGGATTGTGTTTGTGTGCCATTCAGAGGGTGAATGGGAAAGAAAAAAGATTTAAGTGCCTTTGAACGGGGTATGGTAGTAGGTGCGAGGCGCACCGGTTTGAGTGTGTCAAGAACTGCAACGCTGCTGGGTTTTTCACGCTCAACAGTTTCCTGTGTGCATCAAGAATGGTCCACCACCCAAAGGACATCCAACCAACTTGACACAACTGTGGGAAGCATTGGAGTTAACATGGGCCAGCATCCCTGTGGAACGCTTTCGACACCTTGTAGAGTCCATGCCCCGACGAATTGAGGCTGTCCTGAGCGTAAAAGAGGGGGTGCAACTCAATATTAGGAAGGTGTTCCTAATGTTTGGTATACTCAGTGTATAATATTCACTCTGTACTATATATGATGGACTGAAAACAATCCTCTATCTAAACCGCAAGCAGTTCACGCCCATTCAAATACAGTAGATACACACACTACTATGTATACAGCCTAGTCAAATGTGCAAAACCATGACATGTAAAACTACCCCTGCAGGAATAACTACAGGACATTGTGCTCAGGCCCAGAGGTAAGACCCAGGACACAGACACAGACACAGTGTCCTTTCACTGCAAACCATGACCAAGTCAAAGCACAAACCACAGATAGCACATTTACAGACAGCCCATAGTCAATCCAACAGTTTACACAAAGGCCCACTCAGTGCTTATAATGTTCCTTAACACAAACAGAAAGTATAAAAACATATCCTAGAAATGTTTTGGCTTTCAGAAATAAAACACTGAGAATATACAGTAAACACCCAAAGACAGTAATAACAGAGTGTCTGAAAGAAAGACAGACAGAAAAGAGGACAGAGTGACGTGCCAGGCACATGACACAAACCTTATAGGACAAATGTCCAAATCCACAGGTAGTCAGACGCTATAAAACCCATAACATAACACTGCTTAACAGACATGTAAACATTTTCAAAAGTTACATCATATACACAATTAACAACGAAACAGGCAGAACAAAAAAACAACTGTGGAACATTCTATATGTGTTTTTTTAAATCAACATAGCATTAAGTTCTGGGTCCATACATGTTAAGAGAAGAGATCAAAAAACGCTAGAATGATGTGCTCCACCCTCTCTCTTTGCAAGTTACGGGCCGAATGTCCCTCCCTTTCCGAATTTCGAAAGATACAAACAACTGCGAAATTGTGATTTGTCGAAAAAACCCAAACACCGGAACTACTGCTGCTCTTATATTACGAATCCATTTCAGTCCCGACAGATTCTCTCGGATTACACGCAGAATCTTTCCACGAGAGATTAACCTAACATATAAAAGCTTTCTATGCAACGCCAACGATGCATAAAGATGTGAAAAACTACAAGCACAACAAATCAACAGACTACAACTCTAAACAAATAAGCACGGGTGAAAGTAAGGCGGTACAGTTCGGTACGGCTACCCGGCAAAACATGAGCCTATCACAATAATTAAAACAAAATGACAAGAAAACTGTAGGCTATTACACCACTTTTAATTATTACCACATGTCAAAAGCCATGAAAAATGAGCAAATGGACTTGAAATCGGTTGGTGGCATAGCTAGCCTTTAGAGGCAGAGATGAGTTGCCGACACCGAGACGCACACAGCAGTGGACGCATAAATTCGGACCTAATGACAATCGGCAAATGTCATTCCACTTTTTGGTGTTTTGTGTAACAGATGTCTCTTTCCATTCACCACTGTTTGGAGGCTGGAAATATGTTTGCGAGTGGATGAACGTACGTGGGTAGCCTAGTAAAGGTTTAAAGTGATTGTTTGACAATCAGATGAAAACATCATGACGGGTTGTGTTTATGCCACAATAAAAGGTAATACATTTTAAAAGTTAAATGACAAATCTTCACGACTAGGCCCACAGAGATCCTATTGAATTAATAGGGATTATATATGTAATTATATGATTAGGCCCATAAAAAATATTGGATGTCCCATACAGGGAAGAAATGTATTATACTTTCACCCCTGCAAATAAGGCACATGACGTTTAAAGGTGTAAGGCATGGGGTGCTGGGCAGGTAATGTCGAGATGACTCTAACCCCTGACCCACGGTGGGGGGACAAGGTCGTACTTTGGACCTAAAGGAGGCCCTGATGACCCAGGGGATGGTGACGACCAGCAGCTGGATCTTGAGGAAGAGATATGGCAGCACATTGTCCTTCAGCTGCCTGAGAAGACTCTGGCCCAGCGAGAACACCAGTAACATCTAGGACCGCACCACCAGCACCACAAGACCAGCACCACAAGACCAGCACCACAGACCCACACAACACAGAGACGGCTGGAGAAATAGGCAGAATGGAGAGAGAGCAACATATGAAGAAGGGAGAGGGATTAAGGAAGGAAGACCAGGGAGATGAAAATGGTTTGGGTAACTTTTTGGAAGGAGTGGAAACATGGTGGGATTTCAGTCGCTTTTACCTCTTTCAGACGCTCCATGTCTCTGAGGTAGAATCCAATGTAGAAAAGACTGAGATAAGAATTTACAAACTGAAACTGCAAGTAAAGAAACAAAACATGTGAGTTGTAAAAACTTTAGAGATAAAGTGTATGTGTGGATTCTGTATTTCAATCATTTGTCATGTGAAAAGTGAGTCCAATTTCCATGTAATAAGGAAGAAGATGACACCACTCACAAGGACCATTTTGATGATGAGATTTTTCTCATAGGCACTCTGGAGTCTGTAGTTTTCTGTGGGGGAATAAATACCAGGTCAGCATTCACAGCAATAATCATCATCACCATCATCATCATCATCATCATCATCATCACCTGAATAAAAATAAATAAATAATAATAGATATATACAGTACCAGTCAAAAATTTGGACACACCTACTCATTCAAGGGTTTTTCTTTATTTTTACTATTTTCTACATTGTAGAATAATAGTGAAGACATCAAAACTATGAAATAACACATATGGAATTATGTAGTAACCAAAAAAGTGTGAAGGAAAATCAGCCAGCAAGTGCTCAGCATATGTGGGAACTCCTTCAAAACTGTTGGAAAAGCATTCCAGGTGAAGCTGGTTGAGAGAATGCAAAGAGTGTGCAAAGCTATCATCAAGGCAAAGGGTGGCTATTTGAAGAATCTCAAATATAAAATATATTTGGATTTGTTTAACACTTCTTTGGTTACTATATGATTCCATATGTGTTATTTCATAGTTTTGATGTCTTCACTATTATTCTAAAATGTAAAAAATAGTACAAATAAAGAAAAACCCTTGAATGAATAGGTGTGTCCAAACTGTTGACTGGTAGTGTATATATTGTTCCGCCTTAGTACTCAGGAAGCAGCTGTCAAGCTTGACGGATGAGTGCTCTGTGTGTGTCTACATACGTGTGTGTGCATACGTGCGTTTGTGTGTGTGTGTTTGCATGCGTGTTCTCACCCATGTCGTTGAGCCAGCAGGCTATCTTCCGGTACACCTCGTCACAGGCTGTCACAGTGATGGCCAGCATGATTTTAGGGATGAACCGGGCCAGGCGAGGTACCTCCTTGATCCCCATCACAAACTCCTGTGAGACAACAACAACAGCTACCTAATATTGTAGCAATCCTCGCTAATATGAGCTACGTTACAATTCCCACCAAGTGGGCTAACTCTATTGGCGCAATGCACAGGGTGTTGACATTTCACAGCAGCGACCCGTTACGATCAATTCCACAGGTATATTTCCCTTCAAACCCTTTCTGCGGTTGAAGGAAATTATCTATATTGTAGGGTTGTTAAATTCCGGTAACTTTCTCAAAATTCCCAGGTTTTCCAGAAATCCTGGTTGGAAGCTTTCCTGGAATCAGGAAGGAATAAGCACGAAATCTGGAATCCTCCAACCAGGATTTCTGGAAAACCTGTGAATTTTGGGTAAGCTCCCTAGACATTAGGCAGGCAGTTATGTAGATAGAGCAGCAGCAGCCAGAGGGAACAGTACTGACGTACCTGCAGCTCGAAGCAGATGAGCATGGCCAGGAAGACAAAGCAGAGACAGAGGATACAGATGGGTAGGCTGACCAGCCACCTGAACACCCTCCTCCTCCACGGAGGGTAATAGAACTCCTCACAGCCTGTTATGGGACTGCACCGCTTCACGCCCTGCAGGGGGGAGGGGGGGAGAGAGGAGATGGAGGGGGAGAGGGGAGATGGAGGGGAGGGAGCAAGAGGGAAAGGGTGAGATAGAGGGTAAAGGGAGGGAGGAGAAAGGCAAGAAAGAAGGTTTACAACTGTTGTCCATCATTTTCTCTGTAAAGTATATTGAGAGTTTGTGTTGAAATGTTCTCATGTCCTCCTCACCCTAAACTGTGTCCGTGGTTCCTCTAGGGACTCGTTAGGGGTGTCCAGCGTACCCCACTTATAGGCCAGCTCCACCCCCCTCCTCTTCCACCTCTCCAGGAAGAGCGTGGCCCACACCACGTTGAACAGAGCAAACACTACACAGCAGATATCACGGCTCGTCTGAGAGGAGAGAATACACAGGTGAATCTTTAAATAGGAAACATGTAACCTCTATAACACCTGTGCAAAAACTAAAGGAGGACTGGAGGAAAAGGATCAAGTATTAGGAAGAAATGGGATCATCATATCTGAGGTTTCTACATTTTCAAGTGTCAACAGTTTAATATCTCACTCTGTGATTCAGTGGGAAAGGAAAGGGCATAAGTCTGATTGAGAGCAGATCGGAGTGTATCACAATGAACATCTCTGTCTATGTTCTAAACGTATTCCAGACAGTGCACTTCAAAAGTAAGTGTTAAGTAAGCCTTGGACAAGTAAGCCTTGTCCGAGCCAGAATGGCAGGAGCTTACAGTGCCTTCAGAAAGTATTCATACCCCTAGACTTATACCACATTTTGTTGTGTTACAGCCTGAATTCAAAATGGATTATACACGCAATACCCCATAATGACAAAGTGAAAACCAGGGGTTGGAACTGGTTCAGGGAACAGAACAGAAAACCGGAAAATAACTACATTTTTCCAGGAACAGAAACGTAACCTGAAACTAAAGTGATCCATACTGTTCTGGAACAGAACCGTTACTTTAAAAGCATGGGAACTGGTTAATAACGTTATTTTACGTTCCAGGCATTTTTTTCTAGTCCCACAACAAAATGCAACAAAGTGCCTATGCAATGCCCTTACTCTATCACTCAGAAACTTAGAGCAGTTTCTGCCTACAAGCTGAAAATCTTTGCCTGTACATGTTTAGGCTACCTGCCCCTCGACCCTCCTCCGAAGCATAGGCTACTGTACTGACATTACAAGCTTGATTCAGTAGATAGGGGGAGAGAGATTTTTAATTAGTAGAGAAGAATGGATTAACTTTTCCAATGCTAGTTAAGGATACTATAGGTCTATTTATCACGTTTCATATTGGATTTATTAACTTAAAAAAGGTAAGACATGTTTTTAATTCTGGTGCTGCTCTGCACACACAAGCTTGTTAGCTAGCTAGCTCAAGCTTGTAAGCTAGCTAGCTCAAAGGACATTCATGGTTCCTCCATAGAAGCTGCTCCTTCTATATATAATTCATATAATGCATGTCATAACAAGATGCCCAGGGCTTCAAGCCTGCACCTCAACCCTCTCTCGCTCTCTTCCCACCCACAAAATTTCAGTCGCATCTTGCGCCATAGGCTACACTTGTCTGTCCATCACGTATGTAAACAACTAGCTTGCCTGCTCTATCCGCACTGATTAGTGAAGTAATTTAATGAGCTAAATATAAAAACCTGGTTCACAGGTTAAATAAGGAACAGAAAGGAACGATATAAACTGGTACTTTTTTGGGGTTCGAACCGGTTCAGAACTTTATTCTGCTGGTCTGAACAGTGGAACGAAATGAAAAAAATAAATATTGGTTCAGTTTAGAATGAAATGATTGAAAAATATTGTTAGATTTTTTTTGTGCAAATTTATTGAAAAATAAATACAGCAATATCTCATTTACATACTGTAAGTATTCACACCCCTGAGTCAATACTTTGGCAGTGATTACAGTTGTGAGTCTTTTTGGGTGAGTCTCTAAGAGCTTTGTTCAACTTGTTCAACTGGATTGTTCAACTTTTGCCCATTATTCTTTTCAAAATTATTCAAGCCATAGATTTCAATTAGATTTAAGACAAAACTTTAACTCGGCCACTCGGAACATTCACTATCTTCTTGGTAAGCAACTCCAGTGTCGATTTGGCCTTTTCCTGCTGAAAGGCGAATTCATCTCCCAGTGTCTGGTGGAAAGCAGAATTAACCAGGTTTTCCTCTAGGATTTTGCCTTAGCTCCATTCCATTTCTTTTTTTATCAGGAAAAACTCCCCAGTCCTTAACGATTACAAGCAAACACATAACATGATGCAACCACCACTATGCTTGAAAATATAGAGAGTGGTATTCAGTAATGTGTTGTATTGGATTTGCCCCAAACATAAAACTTTGTATTAAGGACAAAAAGTGAATTGCTTTACCAATTTTTTTTGCATTATTACTTTAGTGCCTTGTTGCAAACAGGATGCATGTTTTGGAATATTTGTTTTCTGTACAGGCTTTCTTCTTTTCTTTCTGTCAATTAGGTTAGTATTGTGGAGTAACTACAATGTTGTTGATTCATCCTCGGTTTTCTCCTATCACATCCATTAAACTCTGTAACTGTTTTAAAGTCACCATTGGCCTCATGGTGAAATCCCTGAGCGGTTTCCTTCCTCTCCGGCAACTGAGTTAGGAAGGACGCCTGTATCTTTGTTGTGACTCTGTATACACCTTCCAAAGTGTAATTAATAACTTCACCATGCTGAAAGGGATATTCAATGACTGTTTTTCTTCTATCTATCTATCAATAGGTGCCCTTCTTTGTGAGGCATTGGAAAACCTCCCTAGTCTTTGTGGTTGAATCTATGTTTGAAATTCACTGCTTGACTGAGGGACCTTGCAGATAATTGTATGTGTGGAGTACAGAGATGAGGTACTCATTTCAAAATCATGTTAAACACTATCATTGCACACAGAGTGAGTCCATGCAACTTATTATGTGACTTGTTAAGCTCATTTTTACTACTGAACTTATTTAGGCTAGCCATAAAAAGGGGTTGAATACTTATTGACATTATGGGGTATTGTGTGTAGGCCAGTGACAAAAATATCTAAATTAAATCCATTTTAAATCAGGCTATAACACAACAAAATGTGGAAAAAGTCAAGGGGTGTGAATACTTTCTGAAGGCACTGTATCTCCTGTTTCTGTAGTGAGGCAGCTTGATGTACAAGTACACCCCCTGGACAGGACGCTAGAAAAAGCACGTGATAAGGCCCAGTGTGAAAGTCACCTGGTCAGACTCCGTGAGAATCCAGAGCACAAAGCCGATGACAGCAGGATACAGCATAGACGTGGTGTAGAACCCCAGCCAGGCAAAGTACATGGCTATCTTCACCCCAAAGTAATCATGAACATCATCTAGAAACACCACAGAGAGACAAGAGGGAGAGAGACAGTTAGCAATTAAACATTTATAATTCAATTCAACATACAATTCTCTGAGCGAAGAAACTTTTTCTGGTAAGTTTTGGCCTCGGTTCACCCAGCACAGCCTGACTGCACTAACGATTCACCTCCAGCAAACACTAGTCTACCAAGCCGGAGGAAAAGTACACAAACAGTTCTGTGTGTGTGAGTGTGTGTTTGTGCGTGTGTGTACTGACCACAGGAGGTTGGTGACACCTTAATTGGGGAGAACGGGCTTGTGGTAATGGCTGGGGCGGAAACAGTGGAATGGTATCAAATGCATCAAACACATGGTTTCCATGTGTTTGATGCCATTCCATTCACTCCATTCCAGCCATTATTATGAGCCGTCCTCCCCTCAGCAGCCTCCACTGGTACTAACCTAGTGGCTGTTTCTCACACACGGCCTGCACCCAGGACTTCATCAGCTGACTGAGGATCCTCTGCTCATGGAGCGGAAACACCTTCTGGATCACGCCCCGCGCACTTAGCTCTGGGACTGGTGGAACACACATTCAAACATGAATTCTTATTTTCAAACACACATAGAGTACACAGTAGCACCCATAGAAGCATACAGGAGCACACTCACGCACACCCATATACAGTATGTTATTGGGATTAACACAGTGCTGGTATAAACAAGTTACACAACATTATTTACTTCACATGGTGACTAACACAGGCAAAACAAACATCAAATGCTGCTCACTGATTGGCTGTCCCTCCAGGAACTGTATGTTGTGAAGCACCTCTCCATTCACGGCACGTAGATTGTCGAGCCAGTACTTGATGATGCTTTGCCTCTCCTGAGGAGAGAGAGGGACAGACTGGTCAGACAGAATCAAATCTTCAGGTTCTCAGGCAAGGTTATTTATCATACAAGTCTGTGTGTGTGTGTGTGTTTGTGTTGACCTGTGATGTGAAGAAGCATAGTTCACTCCCAATGTTCTCATAGATGTAGTCTTCTTCACAGGAGAAGCTGCGTGTTCCTCCCCCAAACTCTGGCTTCACTGATTTCCTCAGACCCATCTCCTCTGCCCCACGCAACAGACTGAGAGACAGGGAGAAAGAGTAAGAGGGAGAGAGTTAGGGAAACACACACACGCTTCCACAGGCCCACACGGCTGGAGCAGAGTCGGGTTGGAGAAGCACACACTCTCAAACCAACAGAGTGACGGACAAGCAAACAAACAGGTGTTGGACACGCACACACAATCACACACATGCAATGAAAAACAAGAACATACACACAAAGATTGGAATACATGGTCTAATGTGAATAAGACCTGTCCTGGCACGCCACGCCATCTGATAAGAATTCTATGACACTTCCCATGATAGAACTAACTGTAAGTCGCTCTGGATAACAGCATCTGCTAAATGACTCAAATGTAAAATGTAAAATAGATGTACATTAAGGAAACCAAATAACACTGAACACAGCAGCAAAGGAAAGCCTGAGTAAACTCTGAATGACAGCATTCTTGAATGACAACAGTATCTATTCTAGGTTCTACCTCGCCTCTCCTCCTCCTCCTCCTCCTCCTCACCTCTCCTCCTCTCTGTAGAGGCTGACTGTGCGGTTGTGCTCTGTTCGCTCTGTTCTGTTCTCTGCAGAATGATAAGCCCAACTCACACAGCTACACACATACACACACACACACACACACTTGAGTGTGGCCACACCTGTGTTAGCTGGCATTTACCAGCACACATCTATCATACCGTTATGGCCCTCTCGGGTCGTGAATGAAACAGCTTTACAATATAGTCCATAGTACTGAACTCAACAATGACTGAAAACGATCTAAGAAGAAAGATTATATCTATTTTTAGGCATTTACTCAAATCCACTATTTCTTATCAAGATGAAGCCAGTATGTTTTAGAGAGGTATCCTGCTACTGCCAAGACTCTTTACGATGGGTCGTGACTGAACACGTCCAAGCATCCAAGCTTCTATTGGATTCAAAGTTTATAGACTTTTCTTTTCTTTCAATTCAAGAAGTCTTTATCTGCGCGTAGTGTCCCATTGTCATTGGCCACTGCTAACCTGGGATAAATAACCCAGTCCAATACTGCTGAGAGGGCTAGCCTAGCCAGTTGTACTCTATGCAGCTTGCTCTGTGCTAATTTAGACAATAATATATCACCAGTAATGAAAGATTCAGCCCTGCTTGTGGGAAAAAACTGCAAACTCAGACCTATGGAAGAGTGAATGGATTAATGAATGTTGCCATCTGCTAGAAGATAAGTGAACGTGTATCATTTTCTTTTAACCTTCTATCTCATGACTATTAGCATTTCCATATCACTTTCATGGTTCAACACAAGTTTGAATCGTTTCAGCAGCAGTAAAGGAGATTACATACATAATCTTTTCTATAACGTTAATTTAGGTCATCCAACATACCTGAGAACGAACGAGCGTGCAAGTATGTGTGACTGTGTGTGTGTGTGATTGTGTGCGCACACGTGCTTGTACAGCCATCTGCCTTGACCATTTCTTTGAGTAATGCACACTGACAGTGAGCTCTCTCTCTCTCTCTCTCTCTCTCTCTCTCTCGACTCCGTTCACTTGTTAAGAGGTAAAAGCCACCCTTAAAACTCTCAGGATAGCATAGTCAAGAGCCCTTGAAAACAGATCAGTCAGCACAGCAGTCAGTCAGCACAGCAGACATCCTCTAACACCGAGTGAAATGCATTGTGGGGTATTGTGGCTAGTGGCCTCTGCGCTCTTACTTGGGTTGTTGAGTATTTACCCAGAGCCATCTCTAAATCCCCTGGTATTTACCCAGAGTCATCTCTAAATCCCCTGGTATTTACCCAGAGCCATCTCTAAATCCCCTGGTATTTACCCAGAGTCATCTCTAAATCCCCTGGTATTTACCCAGAGTCATCTCTAAATCCCCTGGTATTTACCCAGAGTCATCTCTAAATCCCCTGGTATTTACCCAGAGACATCTCTAAATCCCCTGGTATTTACCCAGAGCCATCTCTAAATCCCCTGGTATTTACCCAGAGTCATCTCTAAATCCCCTGGTATTCACCCAGAGTCATCTCTAAATCCCCTGGTATTCACCCAGAGTCATCTCTAAATCCCCTGGTATTTACCCAGAGAGGTAAGATACAGCATAATAGTATCATGTACAGTACTGTGTTTAGAAAGAGTTGAAGCTATTGCAGAATGTAAGTCCTTCCAACATTCTACAACAAAATTCCAGTAACTTTCCCCAAATTCCCTGGTTTTACAGAAATCCTGGTTGGAACATTCCTGGAATGGCGAGGAATTAAGGAGGAAATCTGGGAATCCTCCAACCAGGATTTCTGGAAAACCAGGGAATTTGGGGAAAGTTACCAAAATGGTGCAATCCTAGGCCCAGATCTCTTAGCAGTGGTTGTAATACACTCACATACAGCAAAGGGAGACCACACTAGTATTGCTGACACACTAACTAACCTTCTGCTGTTGATGTAGGAAATGTTATATTTATGATCAGTCAAGACACTAATTCAAACAGGTTTATTAAAGCCTTGTCTGTAACTACCCTCTACCCCAGGATCCATTTAGATGCTAACAATAATAATGTCAGTTCATTCATACAGCTATAGTCATCGTGCAGCACACAATGTCATTGTCTATACATTAGCTGGCCATGCCCCCTCAGGGTTCTTACTTCTCATAGGTTGCCGTGATGAAGAAGGCATGGACGCGTGTGCGTTTGTGATGTCGGATCTGGATAATGAGTTCCGGAATGCCCAGACGCAGGTGGTTCAGTAGCCATAGCAACGTGTGGTCATCTGTCCGGTCTGTCACAGGAAAGAAATAGAATAGAGAAGAAAGATGCATGTTTTTAAAAATACAATAATTTGTTTATCTTAGATCATCATATAACGGTTTTAATGAAAATCCCAACCTTCAAGATATTAACAACAGTTTTACTGTGAAATTGTTCCACATGAACCAACACAGAAACACTGTTTTTAATTAAAATCAGAGGTAGCATCATTATCTCAAAAGAGGTATTAACCCATATTAGTATCATTACTTTCACACTAGCCTGGAGCGATGAGTGTTTGTTATCTAATGAGCATTATGTTCCAGTAATGACTGAGAAGAGTAGCACAGCATATCTATGTACTAGAATGGCTAATGTTGCTATGACATTATCACCATTCATAAAGTCAAGCCACAGAGACCAAAATGAACAATTACTTATGCTAACCTATGCTTTTCATAGTGCATGGATGGCTGTACAAATGTGTAGGTAAACAAAAACAAAGAGACGTGTGTGCGTGTGTATGTGTGCAACACCTGAGAAAGTCATGAGGACGTCACAGTTCTCAGTGGGCACGGTCTTCATCCAGGACTTATGAGACATGATGTACCTCCCAGCCTGCAGCAGCCGCTTCCCAAATAACTTATCTAGAGAGGAGAGAGAGAGAGAATGAGAGAGAATCACAACGACAGTCACCTTTCAATAGTGAAACAGAATGACAGATAAGGACACTTCTTGTTGACCTGTCCGTCAGTGCTTTTCCTCTCTCTCACACACACACACACACACACGCACACGCACACGCACACGCACACGCACACGCACACGCACACTAGGTCTATCTGCCAAACACACATAGTGCATTTGGAAAGTATTCAGACCCCTTGACTTTTTTCACATTTTGTTACATTACAGCCTTGTTCTAAAATGGATTAAACATATTTTTCCCCCTCATCAATCTACACACAATACCCCATAATGACAAAGCGAAAACAGGTTTTTAGAAATGTTTTCAGAAATACACTACCGTTCAAAAGTTTGGGGTCACTTAGAAAAAAATGAGTCCATTAAAATAACATCAAATTGATCAGAAATACAGTGTAGACATTGTTAATGTTGTAAATGGCTATTGTAGCTGGAAACGGCTGATTTTTAATGGAATATCTACATAGGTGTACAGAGGCCCATTATCAGCAACCATCAGTCCTGTGTTCCAATGGCACGTTGTGTTTGCTAATCCAAGTTTATCATTTTAAAAGGCTGTTTGCTGACAAGATAGAAATCTGTCGTTCTGCCCCTGAGCAAGGCAGTTAACCCACCGTTACCAGGGCACCGATGACATGGATGTCAATTAAGGCAGCTCCCCGCACCTCTCTGATTCAGAAGGGTTGGGTTAAATGCAGAAGACACATTTCAGTACATACATTTCATACAACTGACTAGGATCCCCTTTTCCTTTTTCCCTTTATTTCCTTTTTCGCAAAAAAATCTAAAAACCTGTTTTTGCTTTGTCATTATGGGGTATTGATGAGGGGAAAAAAAAACGATTTAATCAATTTTAGAATAGGGCTGTAACGTAACAAAATGTGGAAAAAGTCAAGGGGGTCTGAATACTTTCCGAATGCACTGTACACCCCCATCCCCTCTCTCTCTGCAGAATTAAATGTCACCCTCCTTCCCTCTGCAACATAAGAGCGAGCGAGTTGGACCCCTACCTGTCTGGGAGAAAGGGCGTACATTGTCAACACTCTCTCTCTCCCTCTACATTGTCAACACTGATTATCTCTCTCTCTATTACTGTGTATGTGTGTGTGTGTGTGTGTGTGTGCTCATGCACATACGTGCGTGCATGCATTTATTCCTATAAGTGTGCCTGCATGTGTACGTGTGACCATACAGTTCAGGCCAGTACACATACACACGTCAACAGTGTTTATATTTAGGCAGAGTGCAGTGAGCGCAGGGACACTGGCATCATGTGACCCAGAGACATGGGGGTCAATTCCTCCTCAAATCCTGACCTGTACATTCAGGATTTCACTTCAGCAGTGGAAACTTCCTGATTGTATTTATTTTGAGTGCACTACTGAAACCGAGGCACAGACAGTAGAGACAAGAGTTCTACACACAGGCAAGTAAATCAAATCAAATGTTATTTGCCACATGCGCCGAATACAACAGGTGTAGACCTTACAGTGAAATGCTTACTTACAAGCCCTTAACCAACAATGCAGTTGAATGGAATAACTGTGAAAGATGCCTGTAGCGTACGGATGAAAGACATCAGTGTGCAACCAAGCATCAATAGAGAAGAGCAGTACAGCCTCCAGACTTCAGGCTGTAGAGGTTATGTTAAGGTGGCTACGCTACAGAATTGCATAATGTCAGCCTGGTAAGGCAAAGGAACGCAACCACAAAGTGAGATAAGTGGAACTCATTTAAAGGAGAAGTGAACCAAACGACTTTGAACCAAGAAAATAAAGGTTCATCTCGTCGAAATCTCGCTTATCTCCTTTTCAATAAGAGCTGGGCCAAGATTGTGTTGTAGTCTTAGGTCTCTCTTTATGTAGTGTTGTGGTGTCTCTCTTGTCGTGATGTATGTTTTGTCCTATTTTTAATTTTATTTATCCCAGCAGCGGTCTCCGCAGGAGGCCTTTTGCATTTTGGTAGGCCATCATTGTAAATAAGAATTTGTTCTTAACTGACTTGCCTAGTTAAATAAAAGTTAAATAAATATAAAACATTTAAAAGCTGGCAGCAGGGGTCAATAGTTCAACAAGAAGTAGATTGTTTTGAACTGCAGCTCTCTAACCCTAAAGGCCTTGGCAGAGTTGACTGAGGACAGTTTGTGCTGTACACTGCTGGCTGGGTCCTGAATAATACTAGTGGGGGAGGACAGAGAGAATGCCTGTCCCCAAACAGCAGTGTACAGCATAAACCCGATCTAACATCTCCGGAGAGACCTGAAAATAGCTGTGCAGCGACATTCCCCATCCAACCTGACAGTGATTGAGAGGATCTGCAGAGAAGAATGGGAGAAACCCCCCAAATACAGGTGTGCCAAGCTTGTAGCATCATACGCAAGAAGACTTGAGGCTGTAATTGCTGCCAAAGATGCTTCAACAAAGTACTGAGTGAAGGGTCTGAATACTTATGTAAATGTAATAAAAACCTGTTTTCGCTTTGTCATTATGGGGTATTGTGTGTAGATTGATGAGGGAAAAAAAAAATAATTTAATAGATTTTAGAATAAGGCTGTAACGTAACAGTACCAGTCAAAAGTTTGGACACACCTACTCATTCAAGGGTTTTTCTTTATTTGTACTATTTTCTACATTGTAGAATAATAGTGAAGACATCAAAACTATGAAATAACACATATGGAATCATGTATTGTAGTAACCAAAAAAGTGTTAAACAAATCAAAATATATTTTAGATTCTTCAAAGTAGCCACCCTTTGCCTTGATGACAGCTTTGCACACTCTTGGCATTCTCTCAACCAGCTTCACCTGGAATGCTTTTCCAACAGTTTTGAAGGAGTTCCCACATATGCTGAGCAATTGTTGGCTGCTTTTCCTTCACTCTGCGGTCTGACTCATCCCGAACCATCTCAAATGGGTCTCTCGGTCACAGCTTTCATGCACCTGTAACTGTCTCCGCCTTCTAGATGGTAGTGGGGTGAACAGGCCATGGCTTGGGTGGCTGAGTTCCTTGATGATCTTCTTGGCCTTCCTGTGTCACCGGGTGATGTAGATGTCCTGGAGGGCCGGCAGTGTGCCCCCGGTGATGCGTTAGACTGACCGCACCAGCCTTTGGAGAGCTCTGCGGTTGTGGACGGTGCAATTGCCATACCAGGTGGTGATACAACCCGACTCTCAATGGTGCATCTGTAGAAGTTTGTGAGGGTCTTAGGTGCGAAGCCAAATTTCTTCAGCCTCCTCACTGTTGCACCTTCTTCTCCACACTGTCTGTGTGGATAGCCATTTCAGGTTGTCAGTGATGTGTATGCCGAGGAACTTGAAGCTTTTCACCTTCTCCACTGCGGTCCCGTCGATGTGGATAGGGGTTTCCTGAAGTCCACTATCAGCTCCTTCGTATTGTTGACGTTGAGGGAGAGGTTATTTTCCTGGCACCACTCCGCCAGGGCCCTCACCTCCTCCCTGTAGGTTGTCTCGTCATTGTTGGTAATCAGGCCTACTACTGTTGTGTCGTCTGCAAACTTGATGATTGAGTTGGAGGTGTGCGTGGCCATGCAATCATGGGTGAACAGGGAGTACAGGTGGGGGCTGAGCATGCACACCCTTGTGGGGCCCCTGTGTTGAGGATCAGCAAAGTGGAGGTGTTATTTCCTACCTTCACCACCTGGAGGCGGCCTGTCAGGAAGTCCAGGACCCAGTTGCACAGGGCGGGGTTCAGACCCAGGGCCCAAACTTAATGATGAGCTTGGAGGGTACTATGGTGTTGAAGGCTGAGCTATAGTCAATGAACAGCATTCTTACATAGGTATTCCTCTTGTCCAGATGGGATAGGGCAGTGTGCATTGTGATGGCAATTGCGTTGTCTGTGGATCTATTGGGGCGGTATGCAAATTGAAGTGGGTCTACGGTGTCAGGTAAGTTAGAGGTGATATCTATTGGGGCGGTATGTAAATTGTAGTGGGTCTAGGGTGTCGGGTAAGGTGGAGGTGGTATGATCCTTAACTAGCATCTCAAAGCACTTCATGATGACAGAAATGAGTGCTACGGGGCGAAAGTAATTTAGTAAAGTTACCTTCGCTTTCTTAGGTATAGGAGCAATGGTAAACTTCTTGAAGCAAGTGTGGACAACAGACTGGGATAGGGAGAGATTGAATATGTCCGTAAACACTCCAGCCAGCTCTGATGGCACGGCTTGGGATGCCGTCTGGACCGGCAGCCTTGCGAGGGTTAACACGCTTAGCCACGGACACCGAGAGCTCAAAGTCTTTGATTGCCTTACGGAGGGCATAGCTGGTCTGTTTGTACACGTCACCTTGCAGTGGTTAAATGCGGTGGTTCGCGCTTTCAGTTTTGTACGAATGCTACCATCTATCCACATTTTTTCGTTTGGATAAGTTCAAATCATCACAGTTGGAACAACATCCTCTATGCATTTCCTGATGAACTCAGTCACCGAGGCAGTGTATATGTCAATACTATTCTCAGAGGCAGCCCGGAGAATTTTCCAGTCCGCATGATCAAAACAATCTTGAAGCATAGATTCCGATTGGTCAGACCAACGTTGAACAGTCCTTACCACGGGTACTTCCTGTTTAAGTTTCTGCCTATAGGAGAGGAGGAGCAAAATGGAGACGTGATTTGCCAAAGGAAGGGTGGCCTTGTAGCCATCCTGGAAGGGGGAGTAACAATGGTCAAGAGTGCTCGATGAGCAAGTAGCACAGGAGATGTGTTGATAAAACTTTGGTAGCGTTTTTCTCAGATTTCCTTCATTGAAGTCCCCAGCTACAATAAATGCGGCCTCAGGTTTCCAGTTTGTACGAAGTCCAGTATAGTTCCTTGAGAGCCGTCGCGGTGTCAGCTTGTGGGGAGATGTACACGGCCGAGACGATGACCGAAGAAAATTCTCTCGGGAGGTAATGCGGTCGGCATTTGATGTTGAGATATTCCAGAT